GCGCTGGCCCTGTGGCAATCCCTGTTTTCCCCTCCCCTGCCTCACTGGGGGACTGGTCCCTTTATTTTGAGGAGAGAATCATTCGTTTTGCTCTTTGCCATAGGCTACTTACTACCTTTAATTTGCTAGGAGAAGGAAATGGGTGTCAGAATAGATGTGTGTAAATCTTCGTCTCTGGTGAAAGCTGGTGAGGAGATAGATATACACAGAATCATAAACTGTTCCTTTTGAGTTCTGCCCCTCAACTAGATTCTCAAAGTCCTGGCTGATGATATAACGTGTAGACTTATATTCTGCAAACTTGTGACTAAAATATAAAGACATCAATAGAAAGGGGCAATCTCTAAGATGTCAGAGGGTAGACAGGCAAGTGGAGCGCCTCTGCAAGGAGTGCAGGGATATTTCCCGAGCAGGCTCTAGAGGTGGCAGGGATGCCCAGTGAGGGGGCACTGGGCAGGGGCACTTAGGATGGAGACTCCGTGCTTTGAGGGCTGCCAGAGGAGAGTGTGCAGCCTACCCTCTGTGGCAGTATGGGGAGATGGCTCCCTCACATACTGTTCTCTGTTTCTTTTTTTTTTAAACAACATTGCATGTGGTTAAAAAAAAAAATTTTTTTTTAAGTTTGAAATAGGCCAAATTTACATAAAAGTTGGAAGTAGGGTACAAAGAATTTTTTTCCTGAACCATTTGTGAGTTAAGTTGCCGACCTAACACCCCATCACCCTAAATACTTTACGTGCATTTCCTATGTGCAAGGACGTTCTCCTACCTAACCATAACACGACCATCAAAATTAACATTCATATGTTACCTCCATCTAATCCTCAAACCCCATTCAAGTTTTGCCAGTTGTCCCAGTAATGTTCTTTGCAGCAAAATGATCCAGTTCAGAATCGTGCATTGCATTTAGTTACCAAGTCTCTCATCTCCTATAGACTTTTCTCACTAAACGTTCCTTGAGATTCATGATCTTGATACTTTTGAAGATTACAGGCTGGTTATTGTGTAGACTGTCCCTCATTCAGGGTTTGTCTGATATTTTCTCATGATTAGATTCAGGTTATGCATCTTCAACAGGAGTATCACAGAAATGATGCTTTGTTTTTCCCCTTGCATCCTATCATGTGATGTAAGATTTTGATTAATCCCATTATTGATGATGTTCATTTTGCTCACTTGATTAAGATGATGTCTGCCAGGCTTCTCCATTGTAAACTTATTCCCTGTTATAATTAATAAGCAATCTGTGGGGAGATACTTTGAAACTATGTGAAATCCCTTACCAAACTTTAGTTTTTAAAATTTATTTACTTATTTATGTATTTATTTTTATCTTTATGGCCTCATGGTTTCCTTTTTTATTCAGTGCATTATAATCCATTAATATCATTATTTACTTGCCAGTGGGAGCCCCTTCAAGCTGGTTTCTGCATTCTTTTGAGCATTTCCTTGCTTTCTGGCACAACAGGATGTTCTAGGCTCATCTTGTACTTTCTCTGCCACAGCGCTGGAATCAGCCAGTTCTCCAAAGAGCTCTAGTTCTTTCAGTGGAGAATGTTGTTTAGAAGGCGGCTAGGTGCTAGATGTGCACACTGCTATCAGAGTGTTGCTGCTCCCTGGTCCTTCAGTAAACAGAGCTAGAAAATATATATACTTGTGTCTATATATTTGTGTATTGATATATACTCATCTTCATATGTACATCTAGCTTTATTTATTAAAATATATTTATTTTTGGCTGCATTGGGTCTTTCTTGCTGAATGCAGGCTTTCTCTAGTTGTGGCGAGCAGGGGCTACTCTTCATTGCGGTGCACAGGCTTCTCATTACAGTGGCTTCTCTTGTGGAGCACGAGATCTAGGCACACAGGCCTCAGCACTTGTGGCATGCGGGCTCAGTAGTTGTGGCTCGCAGGCTCTAGAGCGCAGGCTCAGTAGTTGTGGCTCACAGGCTCTAGAGTGCAGGCTCAGTAGTTTGTGACGCACGGGCTTAGTTGCTCCGTGTCATGTGGGAATCTTCCCGGATCAGGGCTCAAACCCATGTCCCCAGGCAGGTGGATTCTTAACCACTGCGCCACCAGGGAAGCCCTAGCTTTATTTTTATATATTATATATATATCAGAAACCATGAGTTCACACTCCAATTCCAATTTGACACCACAGATGTTTTTCCCTTTCCATGTTTTAATTCCATCCTCTAACAGTGAGAAACCTGGTCCCATTACCCTTAACATATGCCCTTTTTTGGTCAATCCCTCTGTATGTAACTAATCTCCCGTTGTTGCCACTGCCCTTTCCCCCTCTTGGGTACTCTTTTACCCTGCCTGGGAGTCCCCACATCAGGCTGCGGCTCCTTCTCCGCCAACAGATGCCCTTCATACCCCACTAGGGCTGTGGCATGCTGCATCATACCTTCCTGCCTCTGTATGGATGCCTCCTCACCCAGCTTGGGCTCTGATACTCCCTCCCAGACCCTTCTGCTCCTCCCACTTCAACTGATGTAGACCCTACTTTCCTCTGCCACAACTAATGGCTCTAAAGCCATTAGATTGAATTTTTCAGGAAGGGGAGAAGAGCTGCCCTCTGTTTCTTGACTTGAGTTGAACTTTTTTTTTTTTTAAATATAAGGGAAGTGTGGAACCCAGTGACTGCTGATATGCGGAAGCCTGGTCTCCTAATGTCTGCTCTCAAGACTTTTTACAAGAGAGAAGCTTTTTTATGTGGGTGAAATCAGATGAGAAAGCAAGGCCTGCAGGCGTGAGGACCTCTGGCCATCAGTGTGTTGTCCATGGGAGGGAATAGGGCATATATAGTATGTAGTATGGGGGGGTCTAGAGCAATCTGGGGGTGCAGGAGACACCTGTTACTCTCTGAGGTTACCTTATGCATTGGATTTATAGGCCCAAAGTATGGGGGTCCAGGCTTGGCCAGGTGGGTATAGCCCAATAGGATAGTAGTAGTAATAATAGTCAGCTTATATTTATTGAGCCCTATGTACCAGACCCTGCTCTTACAGCTTTACATATGTCCTCTCATTTCACTCTCGCTTAAGGAGCAGGAGCTGCTATTGTCATTTTACAGGTGAGGAATTGAAGAACAGAGCTTGCCCAAGGTGCCATGGCAAATAAGTGGTAAAACCAGGATTCAAACCCAGAAGCCCTCCTTAATCATGACGATTAATTGCCTGTAGTATTTGGCAGATGGAGTCTGATTGACTCAAAACACTTTATACACTATATATACACATTGGAAAACATTAAGACTTTCAAAAGTCCTTATGCATGACCTGACTTTGAGAGGTTAGAGAAGAGTTCTAAGGCCCTGAGGGACTTTGGATTCAAACTAGAACGTGTAATCTGAGCAGACTGGTGTCTCCCATCTCAGCAAGGCTTCCAGTACCGTGAAGAGTTATTTTGCATTCCGGCTTTCAGAAGGATGTTGGCCCGTTTGCCTTTCCAAGGAATTCCATAATGAAACTCAAGCCAACCTTTGTCTATCCCAGGCTGCGGAGTTTGGCTGCGTTTTTGGAGAGGCTGTAGGCCATGGTGAAAACAAGCACTACGCTTGTGCTAGAATCATGAAGAACTTAAAATACTTCTTGGTCTTTGTTCCATATGGAACTTCACTCTAGGAATAGGGAAATTGAGGACCCACACCAGCACGTATCCTAATAAATATGCAGGCAAGTTACTGTAGGTCATTCCTTGAGTCCCGGGAGAGCCGGGGTGAGAAGTGATACTTGGCATGGTCCATGTCCGCTCGGGTGGTAGTGACCTTGTTGCCACTGGTGTGCTCTGGACTTCCCAGGCTGCCAGCCTCCTCCCCGCTGCAGGAGGGAGGGAGTGCCCATTGCAGTCTCTCAGAGGCAAGCTTTTGGCTCCGTCTGACTGGGGCTTCAGAAAGCTTAAACTGTGGCCATTTCCGTATTGAGCAGCATGATTTCTTGTTTGACTTCGAGGATTAAAGTTGAGGGAATTTGAGTGTTGTGTATGAAATGGGAAAAACACAAAATTTCTGCTTTATTCCTGCTGCTTTTTTTTTTTAAAGGAAGCTTGAGTTATTCGTGAATAAAACTTAGGCTTTGATTTTTATATTTCGTTAGTCCTCTAAGGAGCAGACATTCTGCATATTTAAAGGGAAAACTTGAAAAGTGATTTGGATTTTTTTTTTTTTTTTTGCACATGTACACTCAGAAAACTTTACTAGACTTTTAGCAATGCTCCCATTACCACCACATCTGGGTTTTCTCTTTTTCTTCCCTATTTAAAAAAAGTCCTGCAGTCATTCAAGGCCTCTAGTAGAGAGTTAGTCTAAAGGCAGCAGAGGAAGGCCCGAGGCTGTTGGCAGCTGTGCTCTGCAGGCTTCGTTCATTCCCCCAGGTGCCACTTACTGGCTGGGGGCTGGGGAATCACCAGAGTATGGTGAGCAAGTTCCCTGTGATGGGCTCTGCTCCTTTCCCATTGGGAGAAGGGAGGAGGGCATGTGGAGACATCAAGATACAGACAAGAAAGCCAGGGACAATGGCTGGGAATGGAGCTGAGGAGAGAGTCCTGGGCATTTCCTGCTGTTTGTCTGAGTCTACTTAGCTCCCAGGACTGATTGTGCAACCGGGGCACCCCGGGTTACTTTGGGAAACTTAGCTTTAATGTTAACTGTTGCCACCTGAGAAGTGACCACAGAATTTTTCTCTCTCTTTTGAACGTTAGAGCTCCACTTAAAGATCAAGGCCAGTGCTGCATCTTGTTTTGAGAATGGTCTGGGAGACTCAGAGCTGTCATAATGCTGTGGGGGCCAGTATTAAGGGTCTTGAACTTCAGTAACGAATACTGGGATTTAGAAAAGGGGCACAGAAACACTGGGGAGTGGTTCATGTTCTGTGAATATTCCTGAAGACTAGGTGGAACAGGGCCACGGTGGGAGGGAGTAACCCAGACTCTCTGTTCTTTTTTTTTTTTCTTTTTCTTTCTTTCTTTTTTTTTCTTTTAAACTTTCCTCCCCTAAGTTTTAGATGCTTCTGGATGTTCAATGCTAGCACCTTTACAGACTGGAGCAGCTCGATTTTCTTCATATTTACTTTCAAGAGCAAGAAAAGTGCTGGGCTCCCACTTATTTTCTCCCTGTGGTGTTCCGGAGTTCTGCTCCATATCCACCAGAAAGCTGGCGGCCCACAGCTTTGGCGCATCCATGGCGGCAATGATGTCCTTCCCTCCCCAGAGGTATCACTACTTTTTAGTGCTGGACTTTGAGGCCACGTGTGACAAGCCGCAGATTCATCCTCAGGTAACTGTTGCATCATTGCTTCAGCAAAGATGGGGTGGGCAAGGAGGGAGGGAGGATAGACTTGCTTTCTGGGACCCAGAGGAAGTTTCTCATGTCTTCTTGGCTTTTAGCTACTCATCTGGAGTTCCTGCCTAAGAAGCAGGACTTGACTCAGGCATCCTAGGGTAAGGTAGACCTGAGAGGTCTTTGTAGAGAACTGGGCACACTGTTTCTCTCTGGTCTCAGCCTTTGGGAATCAAAATGTTTCCTTCTGTCCCATCCTTCCTCTCTCCTTTCCCTTCCCTCCTTCCTTCTCCTGCTACTGCTGCATGTTCTTTTAAGGAATACTGTGTTAGCCTCCAAAATGGCCCCCAACGATCCTTACGTCCTGATATTCCCACCTTTGGTAGTTCCCCCCTCCTACAATGAGTGAGAACTAGCCCTGCATAACCAACAGAGTATAGTGGAAGAGACATTGCGTGACTTCTGAGGCTAAGTCATAAAAAGCATCACAGTCCACCTTGCTCTTTTGGATCAGTTGCTATGGAAGATGCCAGCCACCATGCTTTGAGGATATTCAAGCAGCCCTGGCGAGAGGCACATGTGTACCGGAACTGAGGCTCTTAGCTAAAAGCCAGTACCAACTTGCTGGTCATGTTCCTTGGCACTGTCTTGGAAGTGACTCTGCTACCCCCAGTCAAGCCTTCAGATAACTACAGCCCCAGTGGACATCAGACGTCAACCTCAGGAGAGACCCTGAGCTAGACTGACCAGCCGAGCCACTCCTGAATTCCTGGCTCATCAGAGCTGTGGGAGATGATAAATGATTATTGATGTTTTAAGCCACTAAGTTTTGGGATGATTTGTTATACAGCATTAGATAACCTGAACAACCATTGCTGGTCTGTTGGAAAGGAAAATTTCTTTGCTTGCATTTTTTTCTTAGTTACCAACTGTGTTCGGAGATCTTTTACCTTTTGAGGCAGTGCTGCTAAGAAGCTTGGATTAGCAGCAGAGAGACACGTGTGCTAGGTGATATTGGATTGCTTGGTGTTTGCTTTGGGGGCCTGATTGGGGGCCGATGTGGCAGTGCCTTGTAGTGTGGGGGCCTTGGGTATGCCTGACTCTAGGACTGGAACTCTTCCCTGTAGGGCTGGATTATCAGGTGGGTAATTTGGGGATGTGTAGACAAGTGGGTCTGGGAGTAGCTTTCAGTAGTAAGAGGAGGAGAAGAGGATTGTAGCAGCAGGCACTTGGGAGACAGGGAGGTCCATTCAGAGGTAAACTGGGTTCATTTCTCATGGTTGGTTTTTTTTTCCAGGGAGGGGTTCTATCTTTAGGTTAGTAGATTATTTTCCATAAAGCAGATACCACAACCCTTTTACCTTTCCCTTTCTCCTTTCTTGTTTGTTTCCTATTCTCAAAGTAGTGGTCTGCCTTTGGGGGAGGATTGGAATCAGGCCTGCTGAGGCTTGGGAAGACAGGCGCTGGATGAGGAGAGCTTCCTAGGGGAAGGAACTTCACATGAAAGGGAAGACGGCTTGGGGGCAGCCTGAGCCACACTTTCTTTCTCAGCCTCTTGCTCCTACCTGTGCTGTAGGGTCGTCTTCTCCACCTCCCCAAACTACTGGAGATTCTGTGGTGGGTGTACCTGGGTGGTGGGTGGGAGTTTTGGTTATGTAGATTCTCTTGGGTTGAGAATCAGGGAGCCATACCCCAGTATGCCATATTATTTCCCTTGCTGATGATTTCAGTTGCTGAGCAAGCCTTAGTAGGACCTGAGTCTAAAACCTAACACGTTGCTACTGCATAGGATTCATCCCTCTTCTGAAGCCTCATGATTGCCTGGCACCTTCTTGATGACATTTCCTGCTTTCTGCTTCCTGGCACATGCCTATGTATATTTGTTTCTGAACTTTTCAGTTAGATTATAAGCTGAGATAATTATGTGGCTCTGTTCTCTTGTCCTACAGAGGGTCCTGCCAATGTTACTGAAGGTGAAACTTGATTCATGTCTCAGTTTGGTCTGTTAGTATCACCTTTCATCTCTCTGTCAAGGGCACTGTGCTTTTAATTTTTTGTTTTTTTTATTTATTTATTGCAATGCTGAGGATATAATGCAGTACAGATTTAAATCACTTGTATCACCAACTTCCTTCCTAGACTTAGGCACCAGGGCCTTTTAGACCTAGCCTGAGGTTGGGCTTCCTGCTTTTTACCAGGGTCTGAGCCTGATTAAAGTTTATCTCCAGAATCAATGAACCCTGATGATGTGATTCCAAGGGCACTTAAGGAATTGGCTGTCCTGGTTCATTATTAGCAAAGCATTAGCTGTTACTTTAGAGAACTCAGGAAGAAGCTTTTGCTGTCTTGCTTATCTTTAAAAGGCAAATACGAATGATCTTGGAAATTATAGACCTGTTGGTTTACTGTGATTCCAAAGAAGATACTTGACCTGATCGTCAGATAATCAATCAGCAAACAGCTAGAAGAGCATAGGGTACTGAGTAATAACTTATATGGGTTTGTGAAGAAGAGCAAATCCTGTCAGATCAATCTAACTCCTTGCTGTGACATAGTGATGGATTTGAGTGGATCTAGGGCAAGTGGTAAATGTAATGCATCTCTACTTCATTAAGCCTCTACAATGCTATGATCAACAGGTAAGAAGGTGAGTTTGGGGCCAGACAGCTCTGTTGTTGAACTACCCACTGGACCACTCTCAGGAAAGGGATGGGCAGCTTAGAAGTGACTTGAGACTTATTGTTATTGGCAGCTTAAAGCTCCCCCCGCCAACCCCACTTTCTTTTAAAAAAAACCCTTCCCTAAAGTTTGCATGTAGCAGGGTCCTGAAAGGATTCAGAGAAAGGTTGGAGGATGGATTGGAGAAGTTGTCAGTCCCAGATAGGATAGTGTCCTTCCACTGAGGTCCTCATAGGTCAGGTTCTCATTATAGCCTCTATTGTTTAGATCTTTTGGTCAACAAGGGCAGTGGAGAAATTGGAAAAGCTCAGGATAAGAGGAACAAAAATTAGGGAGCTCAGCTTGGTGCTCTGTGATGACCTAGATGGGGGGGAAGGGGGGAAGGGAGGTCCAAGAGGGAGGGGATATAGGTATACATGTAGCTGATTCACTTCATTGTACAGCAGAAACTAACACAACATTGTAAAGCAATTTTACTCCAATAAAAAATAAAAAAAGAGGAACAAAAATTATTAGAGGCACAAAAATAAGACTTAGAAAGAAGAGAAACTGAATATGGTTTTAGTGACTGATTTCTTGTCCAGACTTGGAAGGAGTTGTTCCAAGGAGTATGATAATAACTTGCTCTTCATTTTAATAAGGACAAAAAAAGAATATAAGTGGAAGCAGGAAAGATTGAGATTTGAGATGAGAATGAACTTCTAGAAGAGACAGTAAAAGGTGTGCAGGTTAGATCAGCCCTACCTAGCTCTCTCAGAACCTCTTGATGGCTGTCCATTTGACAGAGATACTTTGTGGACAAGATCTGTGTGCCTCCTGGGGGTGTGCTTGGACTGTGAATCAGAACCACCCCGGCTCCCCTGCTGCCTGGCTCCCAAGAGTTGAATACTTGAACACAGTGCACTTCTGATTCTTTTGGGAGTGTGTCATACTCCTCAGTTGCATAGGAGGCAGGAACAAGTTTTGGGCCAGGGCCTCTCTGGAGGCTCGGCATGGGGTTCATTTCTCTCATCTGTGTCTGCTATTCAGAAATCCCTGAGTCAGCTTGTTGGGACTATCCAAAAGGAATGCCACCATGCAAACTGACAGGTGCAAGCTCTGTTGTACTTGAGTAACAATATTGGTTGTAAACATGGTAAAACATCTGGTATTTCCCATTTGTCGTAATTTTTGCTGTTTATTTTTGTACTCTGTTCAGCTCACTGAAACTGGAGTGGTTGGTTTGCCAGTAACAGGCTTTCACCTTTCTGGTATTTGCACTCATTTTGTTTTACACATTTTGATTCAGATTAACATGACAGGTATTGGTTGAACATGAGACCGTTTTTCGTTTGAAAATATTTTTTCACTTAAATGTTAACTTAGGTGGATTAAAATGTTTTCGAGACTCAAAATTTGAGGAATACAGTTCCTTTCTTGCTTTAGGAATTGTTTCCTGATATGGAAGTAGGTTTTTATCTGGTTCGGAGAATCGTGGCTGCTTTGTCCTCGGCAGCAGGAGTTCATGTTGCTCATTTTGGTGTGGGTGTGCATCGAATGCTGGTGGCTGTGACCCCCAAGCCCAGGGAGCAGCCTGAAAGCTTTGGTGGGAACTTTAATTGTGCAGCTTTAACCTGGGGGCAAGTTCTCTCACCACCTCAGTGTTCAGAAAAGACCAAAGCAAATGTAAGTGAGGAAAATGAGGTGTAGGCCACAGCATGCGGGGAGGAGGAAGTAACCTCAGCTGTCCAGATGGCCAGGGAGGGGCGGCCCGGCGCTCCTGTCTGGGAGCACATGTCCTGGCTGCCGCCTCCCCTCCCTCCCTGAGTTCGTCCATCAGACTCCATCAGGCTCCGAGGTACAGCCTTTTTCTCACTGCTCTGCAGCAGCCCCGGTGACTGTTTTCCTTCTCATCTGTATTTAAGTGCCCACAACTTTGGAGAAAAATGACCTTTGGGGTTGAGGTTTTCTAGTGTTTGATCTTTGTCCACAGGGGCTTTTTTTTTTTTTTTTAAGGAAACCTTGAAGAATCTCCATCTGCATTTTGAGTTAGAACTATGAGTAAAGGCGTTTCTTTTTTATAGAAAATTGTCCAGATGCCGGGTTATTTTGGGAGGGCAGGGTGGGGGGAGGGTTGGTGGTGACAGGAGAAGGGATAAAATAGAAGAGAGGCATTTGGAGGATTTCAGTATGACTTGAAGCTGGCTCCTCATCATTAGTCTTTTGTGAGAGAGACATTTTGGAAAACTTCACAGGAAATTGGTTAAGATCCCCACAAATCACACTATATTGATTCCCTTCTCCCTTCAAGGCTGAGAGGCAGGAGCCCCCTACCCCCT